AAAAAAAATTTTTTTTTAAATTCTATTTTGATTTGGATTTGAACCTGAGACCGCTCGTTTACCTTGCGAATGTCTTACCACGCAACTATGCCAACTCAAATTAAACTCACGAATAAATGCTCATTATATAAATGTTTAAAAATCATTGTGAATTATAGCTATTCAAATTAATTCTAACAAATTTTGTTCAAGTCTTTCTAAAACTAATTTTTCACAGTGTATTCCTGCTGGTTGGCCAAGCATTGCATGTGCAGTTGATTAATTTGATTAAATGCGACTAAGTTGGCTTGTGATTTTGGGCCACAAACAAATTAAGATTAATAAGTTGTTGGCAGGCAACATTGAGACATTGCCACGCAAATGTCTGCCGACAGTCAGACACAGAAGCTGATTCATCAGAGCGAACAGTCGAGCATAGGCCATGCCATATATGGTGTAGGCAGCTTTGATTGATCTATGGTGTTGCATCCGCGCGTGGGTGCAGACTCGTCGATGATGTAAGATTCTCTTGGTTCTAAAGTGGCGCATATGGCCATGCCATACATATATATATACATATATATAGTGTACGTATATATGTACACATATAATCAAGCAAAAGCCAACCGAAAATGAACATGTTTCAATTGCGTGCGAGGTCGCGAGGCGCAAACACGCCCACTTTTTAGCCTCAATTTGAACAGCTTTGCTTTATATAAAAGCCAGCCAATCCTCGGCCCCTCTCCAGCTCCCTCTGTCATTCATTGCTGACTGGCAGTTACTTTAGTGCCACGCCCACCCAGAAATTGGCCCAACTATATTTACATAGAGTCGAGCTGTTGATTTCACGGTCAAAGAAGTTGCACGCTTTGGCTGCCACTGCCACAGCCACAGCCACAACTACAGCTACTTAGACTTGGTCTGAGTCTTGGTATTAGTTACCGTAGCAGCGCCTAGAGATGAGCGCGTGAGCAGACGATCATAAGCGTAATATTGATGCATTAAGGCGAGACGTTTTCCAACTTGGGCCAATTTATTGTGACTTGGTGGAGTCCTGCTCTTTTAAAGTAATTCCAACGGGAAATAATAATCGTGCACACTCGTGCCTACTAATACTTTGTCACTTAAAGTCGCGCGCATTGTAATAATATTATTATAGATCGTGACTTTTCGTGTCTACTCTCATCTGCTCACGGAGAGTAGTGTCCACATTTAATAATTCGTGTTTTCTTGTACTCACGCGTGTTTACTCTTATCTTCTCGAGTAAAGTCGGGCCCTCGTGTCTACGCACATCGTGTTTTCTCTTGTTAGCTCTTGTCTACTCTGAGTCAAATGCCGATTAGCTCGGGTCTGTTGGACTAGGATCGGGTCCCCTTTTCTCGAGTCGTTTCCAAACCCTCCTCTACCTCCACTTGCTCGTGTAAAGTAGTGCTCAGTAATAATAATATCGTATTTTATCGTACCATCTCGTGTTAAGTCGTGCCGACTGACATCTAAGGCTTAAGATTTGCTTTCTAATTGAATTCCCAGTGCTCCTGCTGCCTAGCTACCTTACTCGACACGAACCTTCAATATTTTCAATTAGCCACCTCACGCGCTCCACTCGAATGTGCAGCAACCGTTTTCGTGGCATGCAATTGTCGCTCCATAAGTCATTAAAAGTAATCGTTTTGTTGGCCCCACATGCGCCAAATGGGCAACATTAGCACTTTGCATACTTTTTGGAGGCGCAACCTTGTTGCCTGTGACGGTGTTGACCAGGCGACCGAGTGACTACTGGGAGTGGGAGTGGGAGTGGAAGGCCTAGCGGCCTCTGTTGCTGTTTCTGTTTCTGTTTCTGCTGACGTTCAATTGCGTTAGCTAATCGCTAGTAAAGCCAATTCAGGTCGTCATCGCCTAGTATCGATTACATTGCGACGTCGCCGCCTGTCACTAGAGCGCAGAGTTCAGCTGAGCAGCGCTGACACGGCGCAAAGCAATCAGACATCAGGTATTGGCTTTCGCGCCTGCCGGCAGCCAACTCTTGCCGAAAGAAGGTCACACGGGTTGAAGAGCCTACCGCAAACCCAGACTTTTTGTCCATTTCGTTGTCTTTGATTGTTTGTCTTGGCGTGAGCAAGCAAATCCACAGGCAACCCCAAGCCGAAATTCTGCTTTGCCCTCTGCTGGCCCAGAAAATTCGAAACAAATAAATCGCTCATGTTGCAATGTTTTGGGATCCCTTGCCTTGTACCCTGTACTTATGCAAAATAATTGGATAAAACGAAACAAATGAACAGGTACGAAATTCTTATTGATTCATAATTTTGGGTTGTTGGCCAAAAGTAGCTGGGCCTTGCTCTACATTTTGCTGAAGATGTTGCTTACAGGGAACGTAAAAAACCCAGACTTTCGTGTTTCACTTAAAAAATCTGATTGTTCCATCACACACTCATGTCAGGGTATTTACTAGTCGAGCACACTCAATTATTGCACGCCTGTTTGTCTTGAGTTTATGGACGATATGGATTTTACGTCATTGATTTGATGTTAATTTAAGCATTTGGTTTATGAGGTTACTAGAGTTTCGTTCTTTTCTCTTTTGTGTTTACTTCAAAGCAAAACAACACTAAAACTCAAGTTTGTGTTTATATTTTTCGTTAAATTTTTCAATTGCTAAGGCAAAAAATTTTAAACTGAATCGTCTACAGAGACACCTGATTGTGCGCCAAGAACTGCAACAACATGAATAAAACTGTGCGGAACAGAATGCAATTGAAAGTAATTGGAGTACTCAACATATTTGCAATTCTTGTTGCAGGTTGGCTTTCGTAGCAAGTACAGATATAAGAAGCCGAAGATTACGGGTCCTTGTGCACCGCTGCGGATAATACGTACGCTCACCATGGCTGGCAATATCGAGCAGCGACCCTGGACGCCCACCGTGCGTACGCGTCGAATTGCGGCGGAGACAAGCAATCCGGGACCGGCTATTGTGCAGCTACCCACGCTGATTGGTGAGTTGTTGGTAGAGGCTAAACTTGATCAGTAGTGACTGATGCACCTTCCTCTCCCTCTCTCACTCTCTCTCACTCTCACTCTCTCTCTCTCTCTCACTCTCTCTCTCACTCTCTCTTTCTCTCTGGTCCTGTAGGCAGCAAAGTGCCAGACTCCAAGAAGAAGGGCGCACCGGCATATTCCTTTGGCCATAAGGCGGCCACCAAGGACGAAACGACGGGTCCCGGCCCCGCCCAGTACAATGTGTCGGGCATGGTGCCCAGAGGCAAGGAGTGCCCTCATGCAGCCACACTTCAAAGTCGTCCCAAGGAGCTGACGCGTTTTGTTAATCCGGGCCCCGGCGAATATGACGTGATGAATGCATCGAAGGCCGTCATCGATGCCACGCCCAAATACACATTCGGCAAGAGGCCGCCTCATACCAAGTACCAGCTGATACCGGGTAAGTCGCAACGGTCCCAGGTTCCGGGTCCCGCAGTCCCGCAATCCCGAACAGTGTTCAAGAGTTTGTTGGTTGTTTGTGCTTTGGTGTTCTTGTTGGTTGTTTGAATGGTTTTTGGTCAATGGTTTGCTTGCATGCGCATCATTAACGCTAATGGACTAAATGGAGTTGCAGAGGCATCATCAAGCATCAAGTAACATCTGGAGGCAGACGCATCCAATCCATGTTGTACATATATAAGAAATCATATCCAATATAATAATAATAATTCCATTGAAAGAATCATCTCAGCAGCGCGTAAGTAATCGCTGCATTTGAGAGCAATCTCTCTCTCTCTCTCTCTCTCTCTCTCTCACTTACACTCTTTCACTCTCTCTCTCTCTCTCTGTTTTGTATTGCCTCTCGCCGTATCTGTGTTACTCTGTAGTCACGTAGCTATAGTTGCCTGCTTCATATTAGAATATTCTTCTTGCTCTCTTTTAAGTAGTCTCATTCTCTCTCTCTCTCTTTCTCTCTCTTTCTCTCTCTTTAGTAGCATTGTTCTTTAAGCAATTGTCACATGTATATCAAAGCCCAAGATTTTCTAGTTTGTTGATGGTTTTTGTTTTAGAGAAAAACATAAATTATAAATCAAAAAATTTAGTTATTATTTTAAGTTATGTCTTTATAGATTTTTTCTCTTTGTAAATGGTATAAAAACATAACTTGTGGTATGGATGTATCAAATCGATCTAATTTACCTAATAGTCAAACACTTTTGATAGTCAAACACTTTCCAGAAAATATGTAAAGTTTTCTTTTGTATTTATAGTGTGTATAAAGATTAACAAATCCAATCCAACCTGTAATTTAATTTATTTTAAATCATAAAAAAAGTATTGCTTATCGGTACATTTTGCTCTTTTAAAATTTGCTTTTTATGTGTATAATATATACATATGTTTATTTTTTATTTTTATTTTTTAATATTTATGTTTATACAGAGCATCAACATATTTTTGTTCATTAAATATATTTTTGGGGATTTTAGTTAGTAATAGGTACGTACCTTTTAATCACTCGAGGCACTGTCTCTGCCTTTCGCTACTTTATTGTTTATGAAGCTCTTTGTTGTATTATAGCCACATAGTTTTCCCGTAGTATCTGTTGTATTTTGTGTTCTATGTTTAATTTTTGATTATTCTATTTCTATTTTTTTCTTAATTTGATCTTAATTTTAATGGAAACATTTTTCTTCTTTGATTAATTTGAACCAACCACCGACTGTCAAAACCAATGGTAATTTAGGTCCCAACCATTATCAAGTGGTGCCGCTTGATGTCATTAAGCCGCGTGCGCCTCGATATTCCTTTCGCATTAAGGTTAACGTTTACCTAGTTAACAATCCAGGTAACACAACTAACTGGCTAACATTGAGCTGTTAACCCAGTTGCAATAACACGAATCTCTCTTGCATGTGCTCAATCTCTCTTTCTCTCTCTCTCCTTATCTTTCTGTGTAGTCTCCATACTTTTACCTCTCTGTCACTACTTTTTCTTGGTGTGGAATAGATTCCTTTTAGTCTGTTAGGCACTTTGCAACACTCGTAACTCGTAACATGTAACTCCTAACCTTATTTAGTTCCGTTTTTTGCAGTATAACCCGTCACTAGTTGCATTTCGTTGCATAGCCTAAACAAATAAAATATCGTTATCCGTACCAAAATTATTTTGTTTTATTAACACTAACAGCGCCAAATAGCTATTGTCCTGAAAAGGTCACGCAATCAAGAAAGAATTCGCCACGTTTCACATTTGGTAGACGAACTAAAATCCAGCACGATCAGCATACACCAGGTAATATGTTGTTGTCGCCCTAACCCCAACCCCAACCCAGCCCAGTCCAGCAAAATGAGGCACTCGTAGTACTCTAGTTAGAAATTTCGCTTTAGAACTTACCACAGCATTACGTATAAGTTACGCGCCTTGGTTTGTAATATCTATATGTCTATCCCACAGCACCTGGCGCCTATTCCCCCGAGAAGGTGAAACTCAGCAAGACACCAGAGTTCAGTTTTGGCATCAAACATCATGAGCTGCGGCCTGACTACACGCCAGGTTTGTAGATAATTAACAACAAATTAAAAAATAAACAAAGAAGAGAAAAATATGAACTTGCTTTCGCAATGTACGCTTAGATTTGCACTTGAATTAGTATTTAGCTACGTCTTATCAGTTAAGACAATGTATCAATTCAGACTTGATCTTCCAGTACAATGAATATAATTCGTTCATTTAGTTTCGTTTGCTTATCGAACTCACCTAATACAATTTGCAGCACCCGGTACTTACAAACCCGAGCAAACAGTTCTAGATCATACACCCGCCTATAGTTTTGGTCTGAAGACGAAGCACATTCAGCACAACGATTCTCCAGGTGGGCTATTCACATTTGAGCTATGTATATAGTCTTGATCTGATCGAAATTAAATAATATATATTATTTGCTAGCACCTGGTACGTACAGTCCAGAAAAGTCAAAATTGTATTCAGCACCCGCTTTTAGTATTGCCGGTAAATCTAATCACGATGTTGTGGATGCTACGCCAGGTAAGTCGCTTTGATCCATTCACTTGCAGCATTCTGTTCATACATTTATCACCAACTAATTGAATACAACCATCTGTATTTCAGCACCCGGCGCATACGAGCCAGAAAAATGCGTCCTTGGTAAAACTCCTGCCTTTAGCTTTGGTCAACGTGTCCAGGTCAGCAAGTCACAAGATACACCTGCACCCGGCACCTATCAGCCGGAGAAAGTGCGCTTGGACAATGCGCCAGCCTACACACTCTCTGGCCGACATGAATTGAAATCCGTTAGCACTACCCCAGCGCCAGGCTCGTATGCCCCGGAAAAATATCGCAGCGACCACACGCCAGCGTTTAGTTTCGCTGGTAAGCATGAGCAGCACATTGAAAACACAACTCCAGCACCAGGCGACTACAGTCCTGAAAAAGTACGGCACGATCATAATCCTGCTTATTCATTTGCCGGGCGGCACGAAACACCGAAGACTAGCGAAACACCAGCACCTTGTGCCTATGAGACAGAAAAGGTTCGACTGGACCACAGTCCCGCTTTCTCCTTTGCCGGCCGTCATGATCTTCACAAGCAAAGTGATACTCCTGCTCCTGGAGCGTACTCTCCCGAAAAAGTCCGTCAGGATCACAATCCTGCCTTCTCCATAGCTGGAAAGCATGAGGTGAAGATCTCAAATGAAACACCCGCGCCCGGTGATTACTCACCAGAGAAAACCCGATTGGATCACACACCCGCTTATACCTTTGGTGGCAAGAATGATCCCAAGGTCGAGAACCACACCCCCGCCCCTGGTGATTACCACCCTGAAAAAGTCAGACTAGACCATAATCCCGCCTTCTCCTTTGCTGGCCGCCATGATCTTCACAAACCAAGCGAAACTCCTGCTCCTGGAGCCTATTCCCCAGAGAAAGTTCGGCTAGACCACAATCCTGCCTTTTCCATAGCTGGCAAGCATGAAGTGAAGATCTCAAATGGTACACCGGCACCTGGAGACTATTCGCCGGAGAAGACTCGACTGGATCACACACCCGCTTACACATTTGGTGGCAAATATGACCCCAAGGTGGAAAATCATCATCCAGCGCCATGCGATTATTCTCCTGAAAAAGTTCGGCTTGACCACACACCCGCCTACACAATTACAGGTCGTACGACCATTGAGCATATTAGCCAGACTCCAGCGCCCTGCGACTACAAGCCAGAGAACTACCAGCTCGATACTACACCAGCCTTCACCTTTGGCATGAAGCTCAAACGGGAACATGTCAGTGATACACCAGGTAAATGAATAGCTAATTATTTGTCATATGTGAACCAAGAGAATAATTAGAAACCCATATATGTCTACCAAATCAATCAATCAATCACTTGATAAATTTCCAGCACCCACTGCATACGAACCGGAAAAGCACAACAACACACAACACTCTCCAGCATACACATTCGGCACTCGAACTGAGATCAAGGTCTCCACCGATGCACCCGGTAACGAACAATTTGATAGAACTACTTTCGAGTCTAGGCTTAAGTCCCCTATTTGCATGTCGCTTACTCTATATGTTATGTTTATCTATAAATGTTTTGTGTCTGGCATCTTGTTACGCCTGCTCTATAGCTCCCGGTCACTATCATCCAGAGCAATGTAAGCTAGACAGCTCGCCGGCATACAGCTTTGGTCTTAAGACCTTACCCATGCCGCCAATTCCAGGTAGGTGCAGCTCTTTGTATTTCACTTAGCTTCCATTTGGTGCTGGCTTAAGAACAATTTTTGGCTTGGCCCCTTGCAGAATATATCCATGAAATAAAATTTATACTTTAAGCTTTTGAACCAATTATCAATCGATCAATTTTAATAATTTTCTAAATATATCTGCTTGGGTAGTTTTATCTTCGGTCAACCGAAGCTAGAGTTTTATACTTCTTGTTGTATTATTTTAAATGTTTATTTCTATATATCATATTTCTGTACTTTATTTTCCATCACACGTGGTTCGCTGGCCCTCACATAATTGTATATGTTCCATATGTATATACCAATATATCTATATATATATATAA